TGCGGGCCGCCTAAATTGAGAACTTTGGATCAACATTGCTGTTTCTTCAATGTGTCACGGAATTCAACTTCAACACCCAAGGCAAAAGAACGGACGGATTAGTCAGGAGAGCAAGATACATACATAATGTCTGACGCATTGACTGATTCCTGGGACCCAGCGGTCGCTCTACCATAAAACCCTAACATCCGTCTCGCTTGGTTTGCCTATGATCCTATCTATACCGACGGGTCTCCTCGCCAGTAAAACACCTCTTCAGCGCGATGTTTTCAATTGGGACAGACTCAGACCCGTTATCTGTTCCAGTATCGCGGTCTTCGGTATGTCTTCCCCCGGATGCAGTCAATTGATTCTCACCTAAGAAACGACTTACAGTCTTTCGCTGGCCACTCAAGGATCGTTGCTCTGGAAGCTCGACCGAGAAGCCCCTCGGCCAACCTCACGCGGTTTGCACCCGACCGCCGACATTGGGTGCTCTACGAGACCGCCCAGGAGCACGAATTCTTATCGTGGTGGCTGGAGACCGAATATGGACAACAGCTGACCAAAAATGGACAATACAAATTCAGATGGTCGACTGAGTCGCGTTGCTCGGAGGTGTGGAGGCAGTTTGATCAGGTGGCAGAGCTCAGGTCTGGTCGACCCAAGGTAGTGTGTCGGTCTTGCCTCACGCCGCTTAATCACCCACATCACCCAAATCACAAATCTCATGGGACAAGCGCAATGGGTAAGCACCTGAAATCTAACTCTTGTCGCAGAAGCAAGGAGAAGGTGTCCGTTTCTGCTGTCACCCTAGGCCCAATCCAGGAGGGCCGTGCGGTCTTTCCCCGCGAGAGGAGCAGATTCACCAAGGCGCAGCTCAAAGAACAGCTTCTGCGGACAATTACGTCCGCAAATCTTCCATTTGGGCTCACGGAAGAACCCACATTCAGGGAATTGTTGAACCTGGTCTATGCCGGACCACAAATTTTGGAGCTTCCCTCGTCAAATCAACTCCGCCAACATTTGCACGATGTGGCAAATACATACCAAGAATCACAACTGCAGGATCTGGCCGGGGACTCCAAAGTTTCGATTGCTTTGTGCTGTTGGAAAAGTCCGCTCGGGCACGACTTTCTGGCTACTACTGCGTATTACTTTGACAAAGAGTGGAGCTACCGAGAAGTGCTGCTTGGATTCGAGCTACTACGCAGGCCCGAGACAGGGACTGACCCGGGTGATCAATTACTTGCACTGATCAGGAACAAAGGGCTGCTTGGTCGGGTATTCAGCGTGACAATTGACTACAGGGTCGACGAGAATCTGGTGCTGCCACTACAAGAGAAGTTAATTTCCTCTGGTGGTATCAGCCGTTTGCAGTGCTTTGTTGGGGTTCCTGGCACAGTGCAGGCCATCCAGCTCTGTCTTCGGCGGTATATCGAAAACATCACAAGCTCCCCAGAAAGGGAAAGGGTTGAGAATGTGCGAGCAATATCACACGTCAATGGTTGGACTGAACCTTCAGATGGCGAAGAAATAATGTGTGTTTTGGAAAAGGTGAATGTCCTCCATCCTCCTGACGAGAAACAGCTCTGACCCTTGTGTCTTGCAGATTCGATCGTTTGCAAAGTTTGTCAACGAGACCCCCGGGAAGCGCGATGAATTCTCGTGTCTTCAGCCCCCAGGGATTCGACTCTTGCCGTTGGACGATGCAAACGCCCGCTGGAATTCGGTGTTTTTGATGTTGAAGCGAGCCAGCAGATTGCGAAGATTTATCGACCAGTACTGCCAGGAAAGGGGGAATTTACGGTACAAATTGACGAATACGGACTGGCGCAAGGTTGACTACGTCGTGCAGCTGACAATGCCATTCATCCAGTTCACTACAGCCCTCCTGGCCTCGAAAGAGGCGACAGTCCACAAAGTCTGTTTCGTGTTCAAGATACTAATGACGCATATCGACCAGTCAGCTGAAATATTGAGAAGAAAATCAGCCCCATGGAAGCGGACACTACTTGAGGCGTCGCTTGTCATGAAGATGGAACTTGGAGAAGTCTACGAAAAGACATTTCAAGACTTTGGGGTCATGTATGGCACTGGAACTTTTGTTGCGCCCCAATATAAAGTGTCCGCATTCGATGGCGCCTCGTCATGGCAAGGCTTGGGCCATCCCGAGCGCCACATCGAATATCTGAGGATCTTTCACCTACAGTATCGGCCGCAAATGCCCACGAGCTTGTCTTGTGTGAATGGACTGTCTTGCTCTCCACAGTTGTTGGGGCTCGACCGGCTTCTGCATCCACTAGCTGGTCTGGCGGGTAGTTCAAGGAGTGGACAAGATGAAGTTGATCAATATCTCCGCGAAGGTCTGAACAACTGCTCACTATATTTTCTGTTGACTACTGACACACAGCAGATGTTGTCAATATCTCGCCATGCGCTTACTGGAAAGACCATCAACACGAATGGCCTGTTCTCACTCGACTGGCTCGAGATCTACTCTCCATTCCGGCTACAGGTGCTGGCACAGAGCGACTTTTCACAGTTGCACAAAAGATCTGCCATGCGCATGGGGAATATTTCGATGAGTCGACCATCCAAGACCTAGTGATGTATGCGTACTCGGAGGAATCTGAAACAGGGAAGCAATTGATCAGCCGGGTAGAACGTAACAAGGCAAGTAACGAAGAGTGGGAGGAGTTCGAAACAGAGGCAGAAAGGCCTGAACCGATCAGCGAGGATGAGTGGAGTCCAGCTGAAGCGAGAATTGACGAGCGCCCAGAGGACGACGAAAACAGCGAGGCAGACACAGTGATTCTGGAAAGCGCACCTACGGATGATCTGGGGCAGAATATGGCAGATGAAGGCGAGGAGGACTCATTTCTGCCTACGCCTGTCACGCGGCTCATCAATAGCATTCGAAGAAGATTCTCAGGCAGAACGACAGTGATCTAGCAGGGTGTCTCATCATTCTTCTCCAGTGTTTGTTTGTTGGAATTCACCCTGCCTATCCTGCAAGAACGATACTCGCATTACAAATTCAATGTCGCTGATTTATAATAAGCCGCGCCCATGGAATGGAGAAAACGTCATATCAACAGATCCTGTGGAAAGCGCGTATGCAAGACAGTCAACGTTACAATTATCACTTTTAGCACTGCCAGTCTTGTTACGATTTCTGAGAAATGTGGTGGCCTTTAGCTTACGCCCCTCCCCATCATGGGTTCATCAAAACTACGTCGTAGCAGTAGCCTAATGCCAAAATAAGCAAGTATT